GCCGTAGGCGGTGGCCCACGTCGCCTACGCCTTACGCCGCCACTGGGTGCAACCCACCCACCCTAAGAAACTCTTGTAGGTAGGATTGATTAATTTGTAGTTATTACATCTAGATTGCTTTTATGTGGCTTTCATCTAGATACCTACTAACTTATTATGAGAGCTAAAGTTAAACCTAAGCAAAAGTATTAAAATAGCTTACTTAGTGTGTTTAAGATCTGCAACTCTTTGACCGCTTAATATGCGATGTAAAGGCAAGGACGGTGTCCTGGTAACCGGCCACATTTATGAGTTTCCCAATAGACCAATCATCTGCAATAACATAGCTATTTTACTTGACGCCCGTAGCTAACTAGTTAAATTTTGTGTTTAGAGTAAATATTTAAATAACTACTTTACAAAATTCATCATAACAACCTGTTTTGTACATTTAACAGCCTAGTCTAGTAGGGTAGGTAAGTAACTGTAAGTAGTAGTTAAATCCGCTTTAGAACTTTAAATTCCAGTAGGAAAACTCATAAGCTGAGTTAAAATTAATTTCTTTGATGTATTAATCACCAATTTACTTATATTGAATTTGATTAATGGAGATGCTACTTGGACGCTATGTTTCGCAGTAAAAAAAAGAATAGGAGGATCCAAATATACAGGGTGGAATTTTGTAATGCCACCTGGAGGGAATGTACTCTTAATACTGTAGATACAAAATTTTACTCAAAGGAAACATTCCTTAATTTAGGAAAAGAAAAAGAACTACATTCAAAGATTTCTAAAAATTTGCTTGCCACACCCGGGAATCAAACCAACTAAAATTTGTTAAAAATTACACCCTGTATTTTTATTGCATCGATCGTTAGGGTTAAGTATAAGGATGAAATCACTCTAACAAACTTGATAAATCAAATGAAAGGAAAACCATGAAATCTTAAATTATTTTAATTATTTACAGAAAATTGTATGGTATGGTGGTTAATTTTCGAAGAATTTTAGAAAATCTTTGAATGTAGTTCTCTTTCTTTTTACATATTAAGTAATGCCAACAAACGACATATAATGTCGTTATGCCTATGTAAAAAGCCTGCCGGGGTTCGTTTTAGGTAGAGATTTTCATCTTGGTGCCTCACGATCGACATTGTGTGAGCACAATAACATCGTAGTTTTTCACAACCGAACGATTATACTATAAACACATCATGCTTCTATGCATATCGAAAACCAATTCGTAATAAAATCTAGTTACGATAAGCGCGCAGTATGTTTGGTAAAGAAACTCAGAAAACCCACCAAAATTTAAATAATCGTAAGCTAGTACGTAGTAGGTAGGCACGTAACGTTATTCAGTCTAAGCACTGTGATAGATGTCTAGGAAGGTCCTGCCTTCATATAAATATATCTAGATCTTCATAAAACATTAGTGTCTCACACTAAGTCCATTGTTTACCTAATTACATTTTTAGATTTAATTTGCTTTAATAGACAATAATATTATGAGATACTTAGTAAGCACTTGTAATTTTTTTTCAGTTTCACCAAATTTTACAAAATGTTTCAGTGCCATTTGCTTTTAACGACATCGTCTTAGAAGGTAAGTGTTATTGCTAAGTGTGAGCAGTGAGAGACGCTCAGGTAAATATTGCTGAAATTAGTGTTCAGGCGTTTTCAAACCAAAGACCACTAGTTTCTTTAGAGCATCATTTAAAAAATGTTAATAATAATAATAATATGTGAGCTCCAAAGCGTACAAATGTAATAATAATAATAAATACTCTTTATTGCACATCACATTGTAAAAAGAAACAGAAAGAAATATTTTAATTTAATATGTTTCTACATGAAAACTTTAATAGTTTTATACGACTACTAGCGGCCGCCCGCGACTTCGTACCTACGCGTGGATCCCGTTTTACCCCCTTCATCTATCTTACGCGGTTTAGATTTTTCATACAAATGTTTTTTTCCGCTAACTCCCGGTCCCGTGGGAATTTTGCAATATCCTGTTGTAACTAAGCTGTAAGTTTAAGGTACTTGCATGCCAAATTTCAAACGTCTATTTTACGCGGTTTAGATTTTTTCATACAAATGTTTTTTCCCGCTAACACCCGTTCCCGTGGGAATTTTGCAATATCATGTTGTAACTAAGCTTTAAGTTTACTATAAGGTACCCGCATGCCAAATTTCAAGCGTCTATCTTACGCGGTTTAGGTTTTTTCATACAAATGTTTTTCCCGCTAACTCCCGTTCCCGTGGGAATTTTTGCAATATCCTGTTGTAACTAAGCTTAAAGTTTACTAAGGTACCTGCATGCCAAATTTCAAGCGTCTAACTAAAGTGTTAGATTTTGCATACAAAAGGATTTTCCCGCTAATTCCCGTTCCCGTGGGAATTCTTAAGTATACTATAACCTGCCCAGGAGTATGAAGAATAACTGTACCAAGTTTCGTTAAAATCCGTCGAGTAGTTTTTGTTTCTATAAGGAACATACAGACAGACAGACAGACAGACAAAAATTTTACTGATTGCATTTTTGGCATCAGTATCGATCACTAATCACCCCCTGATAGTTATTTTGAAAATATATTTCATGTACAGAATTGACCTCTCTACAGATTTATTATAAGTATAGATAAGCAGGCGTTTGACTGCAGTTCATGCTTGCCTAATACTTAGTTAAGTGCTCATTTGAAGTTCAAAGACCGAAAGCAGCAAGATCAAGCTCTGAGATATTAACTTATTTTTTGTAAAATAAACTACAGGAAGTCAACCTCATTTCGAATCTATTATTAGACCAGTTCTTTGCTCCCATTTAATATTCTTCCCACCTTTTGGATCTTGTGAGATGTGATAACTCTTCGTAGTTAGTAAGTAGGTACCGTCATCACAACTATCATCATCATCATTTCCAATTTAACAGAAGACGATATAAACTTTGACACCGATTCCAAATATATTTAGGTGTATTTGAAACTACTAATCGTCTGTGACAGGTGATGTATAAAAGTGTAATTAATTAATTACCTATATCAATTAGTTGATGTAACGCGATTCTTAACCACAATGATTTGTTTGTCCTAACCTTTGGACCGTTCTGATTTTAAAGTCGGCAAGGTTTTAAATACCGCAGGTATTTCATGGCGAAACAACAAGGTATGGACGGGGATGATTCATTTATTGGCACGCAAGACATTTCCAGTGAAACACATCATTTCTGTAAAATCCTTTATTAAAATAATAAATAAAGATGCAAAAGAGTGAATACACAGCAATACTTGAGCAGATCTAGCGCCAAGCTACCGGCACTCACCACACTTGCGACATCCAAAGCATCGACACACCAAACGTGATACAAACAATACTACACATCTTGATGAGACGCCCACACTGTGCATTCGAGCCGGGAGTCGATTTTGTATCACATCACATACACGCGAATAAAACAACGTAAACACTTAAACAATTAAAAAATATATTTAATGTAAATGGCTTTCATTGAACCAATGTTTTTACGACAATTAATTTTTGTTCAATGAGGGCTTTCGCGATTGAAAAATCCGCCAGATGGCAATACGTAGACGTGAGGTCCAAATGCTGCATGATTGGTTATTTTTGACATGACATTGACAGATATGTCAAAATCCACCAATCATGCAGCATTTGGACCTCACGTCTACGTATTGCCATCTGGCGGATTTTTCAATCGCGAAAACCCTCATTGTTTGCAAATCACTAATCGTTCAGCAAGTTCACGAAATATTCGAAAAATATTGGTAATATTCAAAATCGACTCCCAGAATAACTAACATACCATTCGAGAAGAATACAAATGCTCGGGTGTTTGCCTCAGTTTTGTAGTAAGTAGCATTTGTTAAAAAATTAAAACACTTTCTTAGAGAATTACTTACGTAGCTATAAATCTTCTAAAAAAGTGCAACAATATATCCAAGAAGTTGTCCTCATTGTTCGATTTGTTACAAAAAAGGTATTAACAAGTTTATATGTGTAACAAGATACGTATGATTTATTTAAGAACTCGAGATTATAAAAATATAAAACTTGAGCACAGTGCAACAACATAAAAATGCAGCTAATGATTCATCAATAGCCAAGACAGAGTTTGGTAACTAGTCCCATTAAACCTAATAATTACATAAAACCAGCAAACTCCGTAACAAAGTTATATTTACAAATAAATCCGTTAACCTCCAAGTACCTTAAATGATTTAACAGCTAATTCATTTATAATAAAAATATACACATACAAAATGCCCTTCTCACTTCACCTACGCTTACTTATTGTGTTGTGACAGGTTAACAAGACCGACTGATCAAATAAGTTTACAAACAATTCATTAATATAAATAAAGTTACAGAAATACAAGCTGGATAGCGAATCAATCAAGATATAACAATGCATAAAATGCTATCATTCAGTCCCTACACTCTTTGTACTTAAAATGACAAAGTATCAGCTCATCATCCACGTAAGTTCTGGAATGACTTTGTGCATTAAAAATATTTGTTCCAAATGTTTCGATAAAATGTGGTCGTCATAAAGTTAACAAATTGTTCTAATATTTAATAGAATCAAATAGAAAGTGCCCCAACATTCGTAATGTGCGTCGGAAGTGGGAACATTATTACAAAACGATTCAGCCTACGCGGCGGAATGATTAAGGCACGCTCCTAGGATCGGCGTCGACCGCGGGTACCGAGGCCCGATCGCGACATATCTGCTGACGAATTTTTGCAACTGGCAACGTCATTTTCTGCGCAAATTATTGACGAATAATATAGCCTAAAAGAGGTCACTTTTAAATAAATCAGTCATCAGATTCGTCGCAGTCAGACCTCAATGCGTTTGGAACGAATTAGCAACATGACACGGGAAGAGCGGAATGCACTTCACTAAGGGTAATTAAGCATCCACGCGACCCGGCCGCCACCACGGTCCCACGCGGCTCACTGGCTACCGGGCCGAGGTGAGTGACGAATATTCGTCAGCACTCGTAGTAAACGTTTGTGATACGGCCCCATCCCTCCGGCTCCGCGCCCGGTATCGGAGACCTTAAAGCTAATCGTAGGCGTTCGGGTGTTCGCCGACCCCACTGGAGTGGATTCGTGAGTTGAAAGGACATAAGGATCGAGTCCATACGGCCGAGGTGATTCACTGAGCCTGAGGCTGGAGATTTATTTACAAAAGATCGATGAAGTCGGCGGTGAGGTTCCCTCTGGAATCAGTCTCAGATCAGCGCCGGGCGGCTTACGACACGGGCCGCTTGCGCACGAAGGCGTCGGCGGCGGACGACGCGTACGACGCTCCCATCTCCGAACCAGCCTCTTGCTTGTAGCCGTTCTTCACGCTTAGATTGTTCTCGTCCATGACAGCCTGCGGAGAGGAACAGGAATTGATTAAACATCTTAAATTAACAAAAGTCCTTGTCTTTAATCAACATACAAGTTAGAAGAGCTAAACGCAAACCTTGAAAGCCAAAAAATGAATAAAATTAGCTAGCACCCATAACACAAGCATTAAGTTGCTTACTTTGGGGCTAGCTGGCGATGTGTGAAATTGTCTAATTGTCTAAAGATTTATAAAAAAACTAGCTTTCCGCCCGCGGCTTCGCCCGCGTGGAATTTTGTCTGTCACAGAAAAACTTTATCGCGCGCGTCCCTGTTTCATAAACCGGGATAAAAACTATCCTATGTTCTTTCCCGGGACTCAAACTATCTCTATGCCAAATTTCATCAAAATCGGTTGCGAGGTTTAAGCGGGAAAGCGTAACAGACAGACAGACAGACAGACAGACAGTTACTTTCGCATTTATAATATTAATAGTTGGGATAAAAAAAATATGTTTTCAACAATGGCAAGTTAAATGCTAATACAAGACAATTAATTAGACATATTTCTGTCAATAGTTAAAAAAAAGACATATGTATTACTTTTTTAACATGTAAAATATTGCGGATATTCTCTCCGAGGTTCTCAAGTTTTGCGGTTACATCTTTATATTTTTAGACATTATGATTAATATGCAAGAAACGGTGTTTTTCCAATAGTCGGCAACGGTGAAGGCGTAACGGTATACAAAAGTTTAAAGTTTGATATTATTCCTTGTACGATCATTGTAAAAACCGTGTAAACACAGGTTCGATTGTAAAACAAATAAGTGTTATTCGTAATTCAGTTACATACAGTGGCGATTCAATTAATTAAATACAATAAAATGTCAAATCAGAACCCAAATGAATATACATTACGGTACAAGTAGGTATTTAATTACAGGCGGCACAAGTCTTGGGCATGGGCGGTGCAAAAGGGCCTCGCGCCTCAGAGTCGAAAATAAATTTGAAACGTATGGAAAATTCAAAAGAACCTACACGCCACAAGGTTTTTTTAATAATTAATACATTAGAATTTAATCATAACTTGAAGATATTCCACTCTTCGGGGCACGAAATGAACATTCACATAATATGAATGAAATATGTAATCGATATTTCTGATAATCTTTTTATGATGTGTTCTAAAGAATATAAGCAAAAATTTAGGTTTGTTTTCTATAGAATAAACAACTGTCTAATTTTAAGTAATTTTTAAAATTTATATTCCCTTCTTGCTCCATCAGAGGGTCTCGCGAATTGTACCTTGCCCGCCTACTTTAAGTTTAGTTCTTGCGCCGCCACTGTATTTAATTCAAATCAAATTATCGCCGATACACGTCCATTAGCATAGAAAATAAAAGAATGTTTACGATTACGTTACTAATTACTACAATTTGCATTGACTATTGTTAAGTTGCCACAATTACGGGCACCTTTGTTTCGAGAAACAGTGTTGTTAACATCGATTAGTCTATTATTGTGACATAACTTTATTTANTTTATTTATCGACGTTTACTGGCGACTGACTACTGCAGAACTTCGAGTATCAATGTAAGTAATGTGTAAATAATTCCTACTGCAAAAAATCCCACTAGCACGTTTAGCGATAGCGTTAAAAATATGCACTCACCATACAGAGGCCGTTGGTCATCTTCTTCGACTTGGCCTTCTTGCTGTTGTAGCGCGCCTTGTAGAAGTCGCTGAAGAGGAACAAGAACAGGAACCCGTGGAGAGCGATCCAGTGCACAAATACGCGCGGGTACTGGCACGACGGCCGGAACAGCACTTGCAGTTGGTGCGTGAAGATCATCACGAACTGGACCTGAAGGGCAGGAAGCTATGCTTATTTTCTGATTTTAAGAGCTATTTTTCAGTACCTGTAGTGGACCTAGGCTGTTTTTAAAGGAAACAACGGTAAAAGTTTTAAAGAGCAATATTGACTGCGATGGCGATGCAATATTGTGATTTGCGACAGTGAAATAATGATTGCCGTTTTATTTCCAATTTTCTTTCCGGTAACATTTCCTTCAAAGCCAACATATCTGTGTCAATAATGGTGTCTTTCGGTAAAAACCGAATTACTCACCATTATTTATCCCATAAGAGAACATTTTTGTCAATATTGCTTTCGGTGGCAACACACTACATTTAATGCGTCAATCACCACGCGGACCATTCATATGACTAACATTGTGGCCCTGTACTTTCCCAAGAATGTTGAATATCTTAAGAAATGAAGCAACATTGTAGACCATGGTTACGGCATCAATAATACAGTAATTTCTCATTTTCAAGGTCTTTGGCCAATATTGCGAGGAGTTTAATTAAATTAATTATTATCTAATAATTTTAAATACATCAAACAAAATATTTCGTTTATGATTCCTAACCTTAGGAATTAGGATAAACCTTAGAGTTAGTTTAACTCCTTAACTTAATAGTTAATAAAGGATGCAATTTTCATTTAACAATCATACAACATAAACAGTTTTATTCACAGAGCAAAGCAAGAAATACTGTTTAACATTACAGAAATAGTGAAATATTTGTTATTGCTACAATACATATTGGCTTTAAATGTAAAAATATAAGTGTGTTTATCTTTCTTGCACGCGATGTGGTTATGTTATTTNTGCACGAATACGCGCGGGTACTGGCACGACGGCCGGAACAGGACTTGCAGTTGGTGCGTGAAGATCATCACGAACTGGACCTGAAGGGCAGGAAGCTATGCTTATTTTCTGGTTTTAAGAGTTATTTTTCAGGAACTGTGATGGCTAGGTCCATAGGTTTGTAAAAGGAAACAACGGTAAAAGTTTTAAAGAGAAATATTGACTGCGATGGCGATGCACTTGCGACAATCGACTCGGTAACAACCGAATTACCCACCATTATTTATACCATAAGAGAACATTTTTGTCAATATTGCTTTCGGTGGCAACACACTACATTTAATGCGTTAATCATGGAACATTCATATGACTAACATTGTGGCGCTGTACTTTCCCATATCTTAAGAAATGAAGCAACATTGTAGACCATGGTTACGGCATCAATAATACAGTAATTTCTCATTTTCAAGGTCTTTGGCCAATATTGCGAGGAGTTTAATTAAATTAATTATTATCTAATAATTTTAAATACATCAAACAAAATATTTCGTTTATGATTCCTAACCTTAGGAATTAGGATAAACCTTAGAGTTAGTTTAACTCCTTAACTTTTAAGGATGCAGTTTCCATTCAACAGTCATACAACATCAACAGTTTTATTCACTGAGCAAAGCAAGATATACTTACTATTTAACATTACAGAAATAGGAAAATATTTGTTATTGCTACAATACATTTATACATATTGGCTATAAGTGTAAAAATATGAGTGTGTTTATCATTCTTGCACGCGATGTGGTTATGTTATTTCGCGTATTGATGGAGGATTAAAAAGAGACAAAAAAGAAGTATTAACGCACGGGTTTGGATGACCACTATGTTGGTTTTGTGATGACGTTACTGGTCGTTAGAATTGACGTCAGTAAATGCTGTTAACTGCGGAAATTTGTTGCCTTTGATATTTAAAGGTACACAAGCTTTTTATTACGAGAGATCAGTAGAAATGATAAATTGCTAATTCTTTACGTTCTAGGGTTTAAACATAAATACATGCTTACACAAACAATTCCGAATCATAAGAACACACTAATTACATTACTAATCTGTTATAATGATATCGTTAACACACAAGTAACAATACAAGTATTATTTTAAATTATTATATTTCATTGATTTCATAGGAAAATACTTGAACTCGATAATAATTCCATAAAAAATATTAATTTAGGTTCATTTTATAAAAACTTATAAATTAATACAAGGTTAAGATTGTAAAGTACGCAATTTATATTAACTATCTCCTATAGCCTTCGATCGATTTTGCCTTTAAAATTAAATGTCATGGTGAATCTCTCTCCGAATCGTGCAAGTTGAGATGTTAATAAATAGATAACTATAATTATTATGTTTGAAGCTAGTATATCATATTGATAGAAGAACAATTTAAAATGTATTATGTCGCTTAGAATATGTATAAAAAAAATAAAAGTATTTTTTTGTATGAAAACCAGTTATACCAGTGAAAGATTTAATNGATTTAGATATCCGTTAGCAAAATGTTAAAGTTTAAAGTGAAAATGTTTGTTCGAGTAGGACTAAAAACTAAACTGTTGGTTTGAAAAATCCGAAAAAATCATGATAATAGTGTTCTTTATGAACTTTCAAGGAAAACTATAGCGGTTAGGATAGATCAATTAGTTTAGGAGTAATAGTCGTTTTACTCATATATTAAATTTCATACCTATAGTCTTTTTCACGTAAGATGATCCGTATGACACTTCAAGGTTATCCATATTACGCATACTACATATGCAGAATATTTTTGAAAAAATATTTGTATTTTATTAGCAATATAATAAAAAAAAATAACTACCTTGTCTTGACATATATAGTAAAATCTGAGTTTATTGATTATATTTTAATTAAATACGATGTAAAAATATTTTTTATTTAATGTATACGCAATGTGTGAAACGGAATAGATTTAGTGCTGGGGTATTTCTTGTATAATAAAATCGATTATTTCCGCGGTTCATTAATCGATTGAAGTGAATGCTTAGTTATTAAAAACATCACAAAAATCAACTATATTTTTCGATTATTGACTTTAATAAACGCATTAAAAATAAATTAATAGTTTTTAATTTAAAGAAACAGAACCAGTACTTTTTAGGAATCGTTTTTTTGAACAAGAACCATGAAATTTGAATATTATCAATAAAAAATTGTTACAATAATATTAGTAATTAAAAAAAAACATGTTTTTTGTTAAATGACACCTATACAAAATATTTCTCTAAAAGTAGGTTTTACTAACTCTTCGAAAAAAATCGATTGATAAATCGCTATGGTTTAGTTATGTGACATCTCTAAATCTTTCAAACTCGAAACGTCATACGGATCATCTTAGGTGAAAAAGACTATAATAAAAATTCCTAAGAAGAAAATATTAAAAGTGACTTTAGATGAAGTAATTGCTTGCTCTTGAAATATACATATTATGGTAACGACGGATAACTACGGAACCCTACACTGCGCGTGGTACGACACACACTTGGTCAATTTTTTTTTTAGTTTTAGTACAANCTAACCAGTCAATCGTAATGCGTCTAGTAGTTAAGCTGTTTTATTGTTTAATGTCAATTTATTGTTCAACTTCATAATTATTACATCCCAACTAATATTATAAATGCGAAAGTAACTCTGTCTGTCTGTCTGTCTGTCTGTCTGTCTGTCTGTCTGTCTGTCTGTTACGCTTTCCCGCTTAAACCTCGCAACCGATTTTGATGAAATTTGGCATAGAGATAGTTTGAGTCCCGGGAAAGAACATAGGATAGTTTTTATCCCGGTTTTTGAAACAGGGACGCGCGCGATAAAGTTTTTCTGTGACAGACAAAATTCCACGCGGGCGAAGCCGCGGGCGGAAAGCTAGTAAAATATAATATATAATACATATTATAAATGCGAAAGTAACTCTGTCTGTCTGTCTGTCTTTTTAGTACAACTGCATTTCAGAATAAAAGCTTGTTTTTAAAAAAGTTTTTTAATTATTATAATTTTATTTTACACTTTTTAGTAGTATCTCAATCTCAGAGCCTTGGTTCAATTACAATATAATTTAGCACCGAAGTGCTCGAAAAGTCAAATCCAGCAAACCCAAACTCGATAAGTTTCCACCGTTTCGTTTAGGAATTCCTATGGCCACCTCCTGACTCCATCATCAGGACCCTGGACATCATCTAGTACTAAAGTGCTCGAAAAGACAAATCCAACGAACCCAAATTCGATGCGATGCCGCCGTTTCATTTAGGAGTTCCTTTGGCCACCTCATGACTCCATCATCAGACCAGCTCAATAGTACCATAACATTGCATTGACATCGTACTTATATAAATATACCAAATTTCAGCTCAATCGGTTGAGGAAAACTGGTCTTAAATTCAGTTGCAAGAGTGTCCCACACATACCTACTAACAAATGTGTCGTTAGTGATCGGGTGGAAGCCCGAACGTACTTATCAGAACGCGTTTTTCAGCGTGCCTGCTGTATCTTTTTGGTAAATAGTAGGTACTGGATTAACGATTAACGGACTTAGGATAATTTAACGGAAGTTAACGAGTCCGTTAACCTTTTTTGAAGTTAACTTAAAAGTTAATCCGTTAATAGAAATGTTAACTTCGTTAATTAACGATTAACGGATTAACGAGTTAATGCCCAGCTATGGTTATTTCGCGTATTGATGGAGGACTAAAAAGAGACAAAAAAGAAGGATTAACGCACGGGTTTGGATGACCACTATGTTGGTTTTGTGATGACGTTACTGGTCGTTAGAATTGACGTCAGTAACTGCGGAAATTTGTTGCCTTTTATATTTAAAGGTACACAAGCTTTTTATTACGAGAGATCAGTAGAAATGATAAATTGCTAATTCTTTACGTTCTAGGGTTTAAACATAAATACTTGCTTACACAAAAAGTCTCGAATCATAAGAACACGCAAATTACATTACTAATCTGTTATAATGATATCGTTAAGACACAAGTAGTATCTTAAATTATTATATTTAATTGATTTAATACGAAAATACTTGAACTCGATAATAATTCCATAAAAAATATTAATTTAGGTTCATTTTATAAAAACTTATAAATTTATAAAAACTTATTAATTAACAAGGTTAAGATAAAGTACGCAATTTATATTAACTATCTCCTATAGCCTACGATCGATTTTGCCTTTAAAATTAAATGTCATGGTGAAATCTCTCTCCGAATCGTGCAAGTTGAGATGTTAATAAATAGATAACTATATTATTATGATTGAAGCTAGTATATCATATTGATAGAAGAACAATTTAAAATGTATTATGTCGCTTAGAATACGTATAAAAAAATAAAAGTATTTTTTTTATGAAAGCCAGTTATACCAGTGAAGCAGTTATCTAGTTACAACGTAATAACGTGGATTTAAATGCTTTAGTGTGGATCAGTCAATCGTTAATGCGTTTAGTAGTTAAGCTATTTTATTGTTTAACTTCATAATCTATATATATAAAAATGAAACCCGTTTCGCGTTGTCACGGCATCACGTGTGAACGGCTGAACCGATTTCGATAATTCTTTTTTTTAAATGTTTGTGGAAGTCCAAGGATGGTTCTTACGGAAAAAAATATTAAGAAAATCTCTACGCTAAGGCGGTACGAAGTTCGCCGGGTCAGCTAGTTATTATATAAAATATAATATAATTACAATATGATCTATTTAGAGTGGATTCGACCAAACAAGAGTAAATATTAATCTCAGAATAAATTGACAGTTTTGACATATTTCCCATAATGTACTGAAACTGTCAATGTGCCTGTTATACCATGAGTATTCTCGGATAAAAGTTTGGTAACATTTGAAATACTATCAAAACTTACCATCTGGAAGGCGGTGAGGTACTTCTTCCACCAGATGAATTTCTGGTACTTGGGCCCCATTGCTGACACCATATAGTAGAAGTACATTACTATGTGGACGAAAGTGTTCAACAGCGCGAAGAAAGTGCTGTGGCCACCTGCAAAGTGAAAACATTCAAATAATTAGTATCTTTAACTGTGTAACATTGATAAAATACACATTTTTAATATTTCGAGTATTTTATAGGGTGGGAATTGCGAAGAAAAACCACTTTTTCAAGCTTGTATGGACTCCGGCAGTTACTGCGAGCGAGTACTAATTATTTTTGAAATAGTTAATTTACCTACAGGAAAAGTCATTTTACTATTCTCAGTTTCTTACTGAGTGATGAGTGGATATAACTCTTCTAGAATTGAAGAAAAGGAATGGTTTTATAATAATTTCAGATACATGGTGTAAATTAACAAGTTTTCCAAACTCCCTTTCTTAATTCTTTCAATACCTACAGTTTGTCAGTTTACTATTACTTTTTCTAGAGATATAAATGATAACTAAATATGTTTATGTAAAAGTTTAGGGGGATATACAGCTGAAGATCATAAATCCTATCCATCGTAAGTCATAAGTACGAGTTTGACCAATATATCACCACGTGGTTTATTATAATTGCAAATAACGGATATTTGAATTAAACGACGGCACGTTTACGTATGTCGTGTATGGCGAAAACTTGTTCTTTGGGGTCACTTCCAAGCGGAAATATATCACACAAGGCCATAGTTTAAAAATATGCGATCGATGCGAGTTTCATAATTATGCGAAGGTATCATTTGAAAGGTTATACAGGGTGGTCGGGAAACCTGTATTTACCGACATTGATGGGATTTTTTGACGATTTTTCTTTCCCAAAAATTTAAATAGACGTTGGGTTCATCTAATATGCATACGAATGCAGTTTAAAATATAAATTGTGGATAACCACAAGAAAAAGAAAATAATGTAACAAAGGTTTTCTTCAATAACTTTTCATATACCTACATTATAAAAAAACACAAGATAGATAATTAACTTTTTAAAAAAATAAAACCGACTTCAAATGCGTGAACACAAAAAAAAACTAAAAATTAAAAATATTGCGTATAAAAAAGTTCATCCCCAATTTTTCACCCTTGGGGGTGAAATATTTTCTTCAAATTCGCATGAAACCACCCTTTTGATAATACCTATTCAACAAAAAAATATTCGTTCAAATTGATTTATAATCGGCGGAGATATTGCGTATAAAAAAGTTCATCCCCAATTTTCCACCCTTGGGGGTTGTTTTTTCTATTATTAAATTTAAATCGGACCACCCTTGAGGTATTACCTATACGCCGAAAAAAGATTTGTTCAAATCGGTTCATAATTGGCGGAGTTATCGCGTAACAAACATAGAACCTCCTCCTTTTTTGAAGTCGGTTGAAAAACAAAGAAAGAGAAGTTTGAAGGACAAAAGATAGAAAACATGGAAAACAATATCTATAACGTATTACTGTACACGTAGTTTCAAGGATTTTTTTTTCAATATAATATTATGTAGTAGGCAATTTTTAAAGAGATTTAACTAATAGCAACTTTAAAGTAGACTTCATTCTCGTCTTATTTTTATTAATTCATGTACAGTCATCGCTTTACATATTAAAGTTTCTTAAATCCTGATGCATGTTTCGGGTATCGGGTGTAATTAACTTAAGCCTAATCTTTTTTTGTTGTTTCTTTTTTTTTTAGTTAATTTAAATCAGTGGGTTAATTTATTAATAGTTTTTTAAATTGTACTTCTTTTATTACCTTGCCACAGAGTATTTTTGAAGGAGGCTAATTATCATTAGCCTTATTTTTTCATAACATCACGGTTGTTTTATTAAAATAAAATAGTAAATAATCTCTTTATATTAACTTCTGTACAAAAGCAACTGTAATAATAATAATATAGTTCAAATGCATATTTAGATTATGAGGATTTTCTTCACATGATCACTTGACTGGTTGTCGCATCGAAAATTCTAATAAATATTATAAATGCGAAAGTTTGTGGATGTGGATGTATGTATGTTACTTTTTCACGCAAAAACTACTGAATGGATTTTGATGAAACTTTACCAGTATTATTGTTTATACATCTGATTAACTTATGCTGGATTTCTATATTCAATCCTAATCCAAATTATACGGATTTGGATTGTCAACTGTCAAATTTTAATATGTTTTTGACCAAAATAACTGCGGTTTTTGATGTTTTTACATTTTTATATTGTTTATAAGACTATTTAAACAATATTAAAGTGTAAATGCATCGAAAATTTTGGAAATATAATCTAAAACTGAATTCAATTTGACAGTTGTAATCCGGATTTGGACAAGGATTGAATATGGGAATCGGGCGTTAGAGGATCTGTGACAAGCTGAATTTCTTTCGGTGAATCCGAAGGTGAAAAGATAAATATTGTCGAGCCGGGTGTGTTGTGATGACTTGAAAGAAAAGAACAAGGGGCGGAAATCCGTTTCATGTTCACACCTTCCACTTTGTCATTAGGTAGCTAATAATACATAAATGACGCAGGTAATAATCCACGTTCATGTAAACATTGGCTCTTAAAACTACTCGGGGAAAATAAAACAAAAAAATCCTGTCAGACAGTTTATACAGGGTGATTTTGTTATCAATATCCAAATTTTTAGGAGCGACTCAGAATCAGTAACTTAATCGATTTACGTGAAAAAAACAACATTTTTTTTCATATTTAATTATTTCTATCCGCTGCGCGCTGTTTCAAAATTGGCTCATGCACGTGGTTAATTTGCTTCGTTCATAGAAAAATACGAACAGTTTACTAAAAAGCTTAATAGACATAATGGGACGTGAAAATAAGCCTTAACCTTTTTCAATAATTTTTTTCGCGAAAAATACCGTGAATAATAATTAAGATAAAGTTGTATTTTGAAATTGTTCTATAGAGCTTATTAAAAAAATGTGGATAAGTACTGATAAAATCAGCCTGTATAGATTTTTAGGTCAATAAGTGGCCGTTTCTAAAAACGTTGTCTGAATTTATTAATGTTTCCATTCCTCTCACGCAAAAAGAAACGCCAGAATGAGTGACAGATTTACCCGGAACTATGTAAACGGCGTTGTGAATAAAATTGTGAATACTGGTATGATGACGTACATAGTGGATACGTGGTCATTCTTTTTGTAGAGTATGTTGAATAGTGTGTCTAAAAATGGTATTGCGTATTATACTTGACGATCGATCAGTGTGCTTATCATGAGTTTACGTTTGGTGTGCTCGCTCCCTTAGATACATAAAAAATGTCATTAAATGTATAATTGTACAGCGCCCCTAGCGGCTACTTTCAAGAACAAAAATTTCCAGACTTTTTGACGACTCGCTAGGAGCACGCCTAACGTAAACTCATGGTAAGCACATTGGAATTTAGTTGCTGCGTCCATGTTACTAACCTGGGGCGAACTTGAGCCCGAACCAGACGGACATCGGCATGATCCCGTGGTGTATGACGTGGAGAGTGGACACGTGCTCATTCTTCTTGCGCAGCACGAAGAACAGAGTGTCGAAGAACTCCGTGAACTTGCTGAAGTAGTACCACCAACATGTATTCGCCATCTATGTGACATACAATCACGTTTTTTACTATCCAATTTAATTACTTTGGGAGTTTCTTCATTCGGAAAAATAAATACACTTTAAAATGGGTAAATAGTTTTACGCAGATTACGGCACATCTTGCAATGCAAATCTTATGAAGTTGTATTAAGTTAGATGCAACAAAAATGTTAAGTCTGGCGTGCAGTCGACTGTAAGTAATAATTCTTAATAATATACTTTCTCATTTTTATATGTAACAAGTTTTTTTTCGTAAGAAAAGTTCATCTTCTATTTCTTTCTATCCAAAATACGGATGGTTAAAAATATGCGTGTATCGCTCGTAATTACACATCCTAATCATTTATCTGAGTTTTATATGCATAGTAATGCAAATAATTATTAAATTGCTAGAAATGTAGAGTATGAAACTGCAATCACCAACTCGAGGCCGCGAACATACTTGGGATCTGCGAAGGCGATTTACGCACGCGCGGAAGTCATTTGCGGAGACACATTCAAAGCGCTGCGTTTTAACTCTTCTGTCTAGACGTATGCTGATAACTGATTTTGTTGACAGCATTTTCATAGGATAACGTGTCATTTTATTACAAGATAGTAAGGACAGCACACATTTTCCTCAATAAAACAGTGTGGCGAGCAGATAATGCCTAATTTTCTGTGTAACACATCTCCAACTGGACACAATTTTTTATCTAGAATCTTTTTATTCCGAGAATTTGTCTCAGACATTTCCTTTGTAATGTAAATTATATATTTAAACGTTGGATCATATTTATTTAAAAATAACAAGTCATTGTCAACAAAGTGTTAAACAACAACATGGCTTGTAGGAAACTCCTCTTCAATACATACCCTCATTGCCAATGGAGTCCTTGAATAATCGACTAGTTGACATGTGAAGTTGTAGTGACCCCACCATCCGCTCATTAAATACTGCGAAAGATGAAAATATTGTTTAAGGCCGGGTAGCAGAGAAAATGGCGAAAATGAGGTTTTCATTTTTCATTTTTGAGGTACTAAACAGTAAAATTAAAGGCTAAGATTTTTTTTGGGCATAGTTGAGGATATTTTCTAGGGCTATTAACGGATGGAAACACGATTTGATGAAGTTGACTCGATAGAATAAATTCCCAAAGTTACCTCTATTCGTTTTCTATTTATGGTTTTATTTTTAAAACTAGCTTTCCGCCCGCGGCTTCGCCCGCGTGGAATTTTGCCTGTCACAGAAAAACTTTATCGCGCGCGTCCCTGTTTCAAAAACCGGGATAAAAACTATCCTATGTTCTTTCCCGGGACTCAAACTATCTCTATGCCAAATTTCATCAAAATCGGTTGCGAGGTTTAAGCGGGAAAGCGTAACAGACAGACAGACAGACAGACAGACAGACAGAGTTACTTTCGCATTTATAATATTAGTTGGGATAAGCGATTTGAGATTCTGAATCTTTTACTAAACTAAAGTTCAGAAATAACTTGAGGGCTTTTAACGGATGAAATTTTTATATTGCGTCTTATTTAGTTACTATGTTTAAAAATGTGGAAAAAATCGCCCATGACGGCTTGGACAATCTCAATCAGTCGCGCAGTGGCGCTTACGGAGGTCGGACGCGTGTCAGTTTTTTGGCCGTGACAGTTCGCGATTTGTCAATATTTTTGACAATGATGACTTTAATGAGTCACAGTATAATAATATCAGTGTTACTGGAGAAAGCTAACATTTTTGATAATTAAGAATTATGAATTTTGTCTACCTATTGAAATTTAAATCGTTGGCATCCTTTTAAACTAAGCTTCTACTCATGATAAGTACATTCCTCAAATATGAGACAAAACCAATGAGTTAAAATTACATTTTAATAGTACCTACACTGATACTGAATAAACATTTTTTCTTTCTTTCTTTCTTTNGTATAGTATATCCAAAATTATAAGAAACAGCGTAAGGCGTCTTAGATAAACTAAATCAGACAGATTTTTTTTAAACATTGATTTATTAAACCTAAGAGAAAATGTTGACGCACTTGAAAAAATCACTTTGTACTTGAAGGGTACAAATAACAAGAAAGACCTGTTACGGTTTTTGGATCTCAGATGATAAATCTGACGGCTCGTATATTTAATAAACTTAATTAAACAGAATCAGACAAGCCATTGCATATTTTATGGCATGTATTCAGTCTGAACATCAAACAAGAATCCTACTCACCGAATCGTTTGCTAACGATTTATTTATAATGCAATAAAATGTACTCACTTCGTAGAATATCCAGGCACTGAAGAGTGTTTGTGCAAGGTTGTAGACAATTAACACAGTCCTAAACTCGAATGGTTTTCGGTTGGCCATGAGCCGGGGCCCAAGCACTCGCGCGCAGTACGCATACGTCACGCAGGCGGCGAACGTCGGCCATGGCGACGACATCATTGGCCAGTCTTTGACGCGAGGATCTAGGGACAAGCAAATGTATCATCATCATTAGGTGATTTAAGCTCATAGCAGACTTATGAACTCGGAAAGGGCCTGTCCAGGAGGGCGAATTCGCCGCGAATCCTACGCGCAAACACGAGCGTATTGTATGACGAGATTTTCGCGCGAATTTTCAACTCGCACGTGTCTTGTGGACGCAATGTATTGGCTTCTAGTATCTCGCCAACGCGCGTATGGATTCTAGTTCTACGCGCGTAGAATTCGCCCTCCTGGACAGGCCCAAAGGGATCAACATCGTATCGCCTTTCGCGAGCTGTCATCGCCTTTCGCGCGCTGTCAATTGCGAAGTGAGGCGTTTACGTTACGGTGCGGATAAGACCGCCTCGAGATGATACGGTTACGATCCCTTTTCAGGTTGATAAATGTGCGACGTCCTTTAGTCTCTCTGCAGGAGCATGAGTACGTCCTGCTCAGCCCTCTCTAATATACCAGAGGCATATGGAGGATTAAGCCTACGAAGAAGAGAGAGGAAGAACGGTAATTCCAAGAGCATCCTGGTCAGATTGGTAGAGCCAGATGTTTTTATCGCAGGTAAAATACAAGACTGAAATGACTGATCAAAATATTGGTTTAATATTTTTCGATTGCGTGTTTTACGTAGACTTTGAGGGGTTTGCCAATAGCAAAAACAACGAACGTAAGAGTTAACAACAAATATTGACACTGGATTATTAGAAATCAATGTCGACTTCGACCACTAACTGCAAACACTACAAAATGTGTTATTTTCCTTAAGGCCTCAGCTTCTCATATTCATGTTGGTATTTTCAATAAAATGCTGCTAAACTAACTACAAATATGAGATGCTGTCATATATGCATGAGTGTCTGTGTCAATATGAATCAACGATTGCTACTCTTCCATTTGCATAGTTGACCATATTTATCGTACAATGACGTGGAAACATAAAATATTAGTGGGAAGTAGTCAAAGTTTATTGTGATTGTGAGTGAGGATATGGACGTCAGCAAAACCGGAGTTTATACAGAGGCGTAATATTGAATATGGTCTGCGCGTTAACNGCGTTAAATTAACATTGACATTTTGCACTTAATAGTTTGCTAATCCGCTCTGTTTTATTGACTTTACTAAGAAGGACCTTTTGAAAAAACATATAATTTTCCTGCTTTTTTATATTTGACATTGTGACTATTAATTTATTGTAAGTGTTCAAATCAATTTGTTATTAACACATATTACACTTACCGCCTTTGTTGTCAATGAGGTCTCTATACCAGTCGTATATGGTTTCCATCTTTGGGTTGGTTTTCTAACGACTAATTATATCTGAAACAATAAAATGCAGGCAATTAGTTATGTTTTTAGTATGAAGTTGCTACAATTCGTCGGGCGTTTTGTATCGTAGTTCGAAACCGACTACTATGCCGAGAGGTCCCGGGTTCGGTTCCCGGCCGAGTGGAAATTTAAATGATGAATTGGAATTCCTGTGACGGGTCTGGGTGTTACTATGTATGTATTTAAAAGTATATAAGTAGTATATCTGTTAAGCTAGCACCCATAACACAAGCATTAGCTGCTTACTTTGGGGCTAGATGACGCTATGTGAAAATGTCAAAAACTAAAAAAGAAATTTATCATTACAAGGCGCGTCATGGAAATCCGTATCCGCTGGGGATTTACCCAGCTCGTGCTCAAACAATATTATACAATAACATACCTATCTTGGCCACTTATGACTGACCTAACAACTGAACTTCAGTTTTCAGTCGAAACATAAATAAAATGCGAATCATATGCAATTGTAATTTATTATAACTAACTGCTGTAGTTTGGTACTGCATGCCGGAAGGGCACGTTTTCCTATCATCATTTTTAATCTACATGTCCGCCATATTTTCAGGTATTATAATTAGTACTCTGTGCCGCTAGTATGAATCAATGATAGCCAATAACAAGAGACAGGCAGGTCAATGTCTTTGAAGACCATGATTTCAACGAAGTTTACTTGTTCAAACATTTAGATGGGTAAATATTTGTTTTAAAGATTTTTAAAGTTCAATAAGTGCTGTAAACTGTCAGTAAAAATTAGTATTGCATTTATTTTTGAANTATTGCATGACTTCAGTTAGATTTTGTGGATTTTTCAATACTGGCAAATTTTTCCTAAAAATTTTGGTTTTTCATTTGATAAGATAATGAAATTCATACTATGATTAATGTTATTTTAAGAGCAAAACCAATTGGATTGTTTCCCTACACGTTCGTGACGATAGTAGGCGATCTCGAATAGAAAGACAACTTCCTTGATATCGCAAGTGTCGTAAAGCTTACATAATGTAGACGATAGCTGCGCATCTTTGATGCCATTATTAACGGATTCTTATCTTCTATCAAACATAGTAATTTTAAAGAATTTTAGAAGCTGTCACATCAGATTTGGTACTATTTCAATATTATAACTAAATTATGAGGAACCACAATACATTATGTTTTAAATTATTCATTCAGCTCAGTCATCTTAAGACCGCAGGTAAACTTGAGTGGTTAGAAGTAAGTACACCTTTAATACACAATTAAATGCGCTTATTGTCCAAGTGACCCTCTTGAACTCTTATAAATAGTAATTACATGTAAATAACTGTCCATGATTTGTAACTGTAATGATACGATATTATTTTATTTAATGGTTACATTAATCATATTTCAGCCAACTTGGCTTAGAAAATATTTCTAGCTATTAAAAAAAGACAATTAAATTGTAAAGAATATTATTAACAAATGTTTAATTTATGAATGGTAGACCATGGGTGGACATAACTTCTTAATTCCATTAAATTGCTGTATAAATAACCAGTTAAACCCTCCACAAAAACAACAACAACCAAAATATGAGATGTTCCGGCATAATACATTGACTTTGACAATGTTAAAAACTTATTTACACTTAAAAGTGGTCAGCCAAATAACACCGGTTCGTCAAATAGTTGATTCATTTAACATTAGAACCAAAATCGTTTTATTTACACGGAATAGGGAAATATAACTGGCAAGGTACTGTGTTGTCAAGGTACAAATGAATATTACATATTTATTTCACAAACACACACGAAATACGCAATCCTGCGAGTGGATGGATACAATGGCGGAAGCACAAGCACGTTAACAGCATATTGCGGCACTGTCCTTAAAAACTAACTGTTTGAAGATTTCGCATACGGAATCACTGATTAAGAGGTTTCCGACGGTTACAACGACAACTGCAGTTGTATGCTTCTCGAGTAACCATTGAGAAAAGAGGGGCGATACCTGTCAGGCGAGCACCACGCCTACCAGCTGACTGACACACTCACCCACCTATTGCTTCGTATAAATAATTCATTGCTCTCATTATCTAACCATTTTATGGGTTTGCCTTATTGGCACAGGACAGGACCGAGTGATTACTCAATGTATCATCAAAATTCCAAGAAAATAATGTTTCGATATAAAACTGATTATCAAATTGTTTATCTGCGGTGGTAAATCCGCAATTAGCAGCGCTTTTGTATGTTAATGCGTACTTTAATAACTCATGATTGTAAGATTAGTTCAGTAAGCAACAGAATATTGTCGATCACGTAGAGAACTCTACATTCTCTATGTTTGTTTGTCTGAAGAGCACGTCGAACCGTGGTCGTGTAGTCGAACTATTATCACGTTCCTCGAATCCGTATCGCATAACACCATGCAAGGAAATACCTACTAGATCATGTTGATACAAAATATACCCAGGAACTCTAGCAAATGACGATGTGGGTACTGGTTGTACATTGATGTATGTAGGTACTGCTTATTAGAGTAAATAAAGGCGAAGCTGTAACCGGCAGCAACAGGCGGAGCGGGTAATGGATTTAATTATCAAGGAAGATATGTAGCGCAAGGTTAAAGTGTTGTTTTCATAGGATGCCATAAAATGACAAGAAAAATGTATGTCAGTATAGAATTACGAGAACATAGGAAGATTGGTTCAAAATGATATGATTGCTGGTGACGAGTCGGTTAGAGCCAGTGACGTCTGAGAACAGCGGGAAGATACTACACCGAGCGTGATCCGAGCAGCGGTCGCCTCTTGCACAACCACTCATTGTGAACGACCTTGACCTGCTCTTCACGGCGAAATTCACTTACACTCACACCTACACTTGAAACTCATTATAGTGGCAAGTTATACTTTTACATAACTTAAAACCAAGCCGTTCCACATACATATTACAAATGCACATTAATTAAAGGAGAAGTATTTTAGGCAATGAAAGTCTTTTGTGCTAATTTGTGATAGATGGATAACTCGTTTTTTAACTTTTTTAATGCCAAACAAACTGTATTTTCCGTATATGACTGTAATATTGCGCAGTCTGGTATATACCCGTGGCTCGTACGATTACATAAATACGTACAATTAGTGTTAGTCTTCTGTGGATTTGCTCAACTTCAAGGACGATTGCACGAATGGACAGGAGAGCCTGGTGTAGTGGGTTTTCGTCTCGAGTGTTCTGTGAAGCAGTCACAACTTTCACTGCAGCGACCGGGTCTTGGTCCATAGTCCGCAGGTTTTACGTAAGGGTGTTGCGCCAGAGTCGGAGACTCGACGCCGCCCGCGCTTGCGCCCTGCGGAACCACTGACCCAGTGCCACAGACGCGTATGCAGACCACCCCACTCCTCTCGTCCCATCCCAACCTTCGCAAACATTACGTCAGGCTTATGGAAATACGCGTGCTCAGCTTGATTAACAATATTGTGAACTAGGTAGCCGTACATTAAATCTACCATTTAGCATAATATACTTTGAGCTCTGCTGGGAATTACTTTGCGCAAGAGTCGACGATCAGGCTCTGCGGGTAGACCCTGAGACATTAAGTTGCGGTTTGTAAAACAGGTAGGGGTTTGTTGATGGAATATTGTCGGCAGTTACATACTAAATTAGTTGCAAAATGGCACACTTAAGGTAATAAATAAAAGGCAACTTTTTACGGAAGAGGTCATTCGCTGCTGTGCCGGGGAGTAGTCACGGTCATCGCGAATTGCTAGGCACCAAAAACATCGAAAAACCTTCTAGACGTATTCAAAACCGGACATTCAACTTGAAACTAAAAATAAATCTTCCTTCAGTAAAGAAATAATGTTGCTTAACGAGCTGATATCAAGTGTATTACGTTATCATTATTATTTATGAGTTACTCATTGTCAAGTTGGTTAATTTAAGATGTAATGTCACGGCCAATGCCCTAGTCTTTTGTGCGGCAATAGAAGTGTTGCGCTCCAGGCATTTCACTCAGTTCAGTATATTATGAGTAATCTAGAAAATGTTATCATTAGTATTAATTGTAATTAATATTGTGAATAAGGATTCATACTATGAATCCTTATTCACAATATTAATTAAAACTAAAGGAGTATGATACTCCTTTAGTTTTTAATTTAGGTTCATTTATCTGCCCTACGTAAAATAAATCCTTAATAAACATTTTTATAAGTAGGCTCAACATTTTTTCAGCAGAAGATTCTAGCAAAATTATGGCTTGGTAAGCGAGGTTAAGCAATTGGTTAGCATATCTTTAAAAGCAATACTAAAAGGTTTGTTTATTAAAGTATGGCTAGTAGAAAAATGCATAAATCGAGAGTTAAAGGCTAAAGAAATAGTGGTGAGGAGTTGCAAATTTATTTTGAGTGATTAGTGTTCTGGACATGCAAGTTCCATAGCCAAAACATTATTGTAATGATTAATTTTACACAGTACAGATAATGACCATGACATGTAGTCGATTTAACTTTCACGAATGTGACGATTATAGACTAACATGTCATTTATCATTGCATTTGTAGTTGCAGTAATGAATAAAACGTACCTACTTGAGATAAGATAATAAATAATAATATTATCATAAAAGATAAGCCTTACAATATTTTTACCCGACTGCGCGATTAGGAATCTTCATGCATTGCATGTCAAACATTTTGTGTTTTGAACGTGGCCTTGATCCTTTAGCCGACTTTTTTCTGCTGCTAATGCTGTCACGCGTTTACGAAACGCGCGACAGCATCGCTCCTAACGCGCGTCGCATTTGCAACGCACTACAGAAGTGATTCCAACGCGCTATAAACGCGCTACAGCAGCGCGACTGCATCGCTACTAAGGCCTCAGCCTCGAACTTAGCGGGCAGCGGGGCGGCGGCGGCGGCGGCGCGGGAGCGGCAGGATCTTATGCGTAAAATCAAATAGACCGGTTCTCGAAAACAGCGGCGCGGCAGCGGGGCGGCAGCGGGCAACGAGAGGGCAGCGGCGAGGGAGCGGGCAACGAGCGGGCAGAGCGCACTCCTTCTTTTGCCCACAATAAATCGAGCGTTAGGAATAAATTTGAATCGAAATAAAATTGTTTTGCGAATTCGTTTGCGAATAAAAACAAATATCTCGACAACACAACCCCGAACACAACACTTCGCCGCTTAAGCGCCGCGCGAGCTGCCCGCTTGTTTCGAGAACGGGTCTGCGTTGCCCGCCCCGCTCCAGCGCCGCCGTCGCTCCCGCCCCGCTGCCCGCTAAGTTCGAGGCTGAGGCCTAAAAGTCGCCGTAGGCGAGGGCCCTTTAGAACCCCTTTTTCATGGATAAGTAAAGTATTTAGGGTTGATTAAAAATTATTTTATAGTTGAAGAAATGAAGAGACGAGTGCGGAACAAAAAAACTCGAACCAACGAATAAAGCAAATTGATAAGAAGGACTGATCCAAATTACTTTAGCAACAATATTGCAAAAAATTTCATTGCCAATTTTCTCAAAATGATGTTGTACTTCTATCAAAGACTACTAAACTAAAACTAACACAAATTATTAAATCATCGATTATTGACAATGTAAAACCACATAATAATATAATTATTTTGGTCTCAGAAATTATATTTTTAGCACAACTAGAACAAGCTAGATATGCTAAATGGGTATTTATTGGTATTTGATGAATAAATTAGTACAGTGTTTTATTATTACATACATAAGTATTATAAAGGTTTACGCGAGATTGATACAGAGATTGAAGGCTCTATCTACCATTGTAAAAAAATATTTGGGAATTAAGGTTTTTGAACTTCACGCAGACGCAAAACGTTATTTAGGATATTATAGTTTGTTGTAACGTTGTTCTTTTTATTTCACGTTTATTGACGTAAGATTTGAAATTTTATGATCTAGCAACAACCTTAGAAACCTCTAACTCTACCTACATCGTGGTCCGGCACGGCCACACACTTGTCAGGTTTTGTTTGCGGCCTAATTTCGACACGATGTACTGTGTGCGCGTAAACCAGCCTTTCCCAAAGTGGGCGAGATTGCCCCCTTGTGGGCGCTGGAGGTAGGCAGGTTAGCCCCTAGGGGGGCGCTAAGAGACCCAGAAAAAAATCGGGGCGTTTGAAGTTAGTGGTTTTTGAGTAGGTGAAAAACTTGATTTCTCAAAGTGGGCAGTGGATAAAGTAAGTTTGGGAACCCCTGGCGCAAACGTTGATAAAATGGCAGTCAATTACACGGAGGATGGAACGCGGCGGGTCGCGGTGTCCCCCATGACGTCTGCGCGGTCTCTTGTGCAAGTCATCGATATGCAGCGATGATCAATTGGTGCTGCGCGAAACCTTAGCTAATGTTATATAACAGAACATGGACAAATCAACAAAGGCATCAAATCGACTGACCGGTAGTTGACAGGAATTATAATAAGCCTATTACGGCAGCGCGACACTTGTTAGCTGGTAGGATTTATGTCACGATTACTTTTAATACACTCTTTTTTTTTTTCTTTTTTTTTTACACTCGAAGAACTTCATCGGTAAATGATACGACAAAGCCTATTTGCAGAAAATTTATTCAAATTCAAATTTATTTATTTTCCAGAAACAGGTAACATAATGATGGTCAAATATACATAAAATAAAGTCCATGTTTCGCTAAATACATCTTAGCATGCAATAAAGAAAACAGACGACTTTTTCATGGGAACCAGTTTTTTTTTCATTCAACGCTAATGGGGGCATTTGACCGGACACTGATGTCTTCCCTGTTTGACATAAATATCAATACCGAGCTTGACAAGTCCTCAGTTGCTGTTACCAGGTGAATTAGTTCAAGTTTGTGGCAAGAACATACTAGTTTTGGGCTGACAATGTATAGGTTTGTTGTCGCCACGATAAGGAGAAGATTAGGATTTTCTGTTTTAAACTCTACAGCAAAATAAGTCTAACTATGCGGTGAAATTATCATGAAGTAATAGACATTGACTGCTACTAACCACTCCCAAGAAAAAGTATAAACATATCGTTCAACCCTTTTTGGGATATGTGAATAAGGATTTTGCATCGTCTCTTTTTTCGAACGGATTAAAGTCGAGTTCTTATCACTACAACAACAGCATATCAAGCTAAGCACTATGGCTTCTTATGTGGTTGTAACAGATGCTATTTTGCGATAAAAAAATAAAGTAAGTTCTCTGTAGCTGTGCCTTAAATAAAATAAATAAATGTGCCGCTCTGTATATGACGCTGCTAGCTAAAAGGTTAGTAACTTATAAATATATAATTACAGAATAACCACGCATGTTTAATAATAATAATAAAATAATAAATAAATCTTTGGACAATTTCACACAGCGCCAGCTAGCCCCAAAGTAAGCAACTTAATGCTTGTGTTATGGGTGCTAGCTTGACGGATACACTACTTATATACATTTTTTTTAAATACATACATATTATACATAGTAACACCCAGACCCGTCACAGAAATTAAAATTCATCATTTCAATTTCTGCCCGGCCGGGAATCGAACCCGGGACCTCTCGGCATAGTAGTCCGTTCTGAACCACTACACCAAACGGCCGACTAATAATTGTCGGTGTCGGTAAATAACGGTTTAATAATTGTCTTTTAATAGCCGCCGCATAACTAGATTATGTTATTGTATTGACGCAGATTTGAACGTCGATGCGTAGAAAAATGTCCGACGTTATTCTTATACATAAAACAAATATAAGTACAGGAGTTTTTTGATTCCGGTCCCAAACTAAATGAAGCTATTTTCCCTTGAAATAAAAGCCTGTACATTTTATTAATGTGCAAAATATTGTTTTAGTTGTGCCTTAATGATTCACAGCACCTAATTGATTTAAAAATTAACGCTCATTCGCAAACTGGGGCCATTATGCCAAACTACAACAAATGAAAACACAATTAATAAAATTGAGAAAACCATTAATTTTGATTAAAAAATACCAACCGTAACCGGTAAACAGTTCTAAATTCACGTTGGTTTCGGAAACCTTGACCAATCGTAATCGTTACGTCGACAATTAATTGAAACTTCGTCACATGAGGTAATCGGTAACAGATGGATGAATTTGTTTCACCGACAAAATCCTCGATCTCAACTTCGTTATTGTCTACTAGCCATTATAAAAAAATATTGTAAGTTCAGAATCAATTAGCTGAGAAACTATTACGGTTACATCTAAAAACGTAAAATAGGTACTGGAGATTTAACTTTGAGTATGGTTTCAGTTACTGTTTTCAGAAAGAAACAAAAAACAAAAGAGAATAATCCAACCGCATTGTTACAAAATGATTAAGTGAAAGTTTGACAGCTGGTATTATAATAGAGATGAACTTGACCAAAATAATATGTTTACAAACATTGGACAACTAGCACCGGGTATCAGATAAAGGTAAAGGTCTAACTGAAGTAAAAAAATCGCTTTGAGGTTTGATAAAAAGTAATCAATGTTACAGAGCAAAGGTTATCGTTTGGATTTAATTACCAAATAGTGTAATTGAAATTAATGTTTGACAGTGTGTCAGTATAATATTTAGGCAGATAAGTACAACGTTAACCTTAAGGGGAAAGAAGCAACCGCAAAACTGGATATTAAAGATTTTTATATTATGCGTACGTATTATGGTGGTTATGATTGATAAGCTTACACTAACAAGTTCAAGTTATAGAATAATACCCTTAACGCGGAAGTTGGGTGTTTTATAATCCGGTTAAATCGATCATAATTCACACCGGTTCGTATCGTATCGTATCGTTTTTACTTTACGAATGATATTGGCCAAATAATTTATATATGTCAACAAACATAACAATTGGATGGAAAATTAACTTTCTGAAGGAGTCTCCTTCATCAAGATATTTTATATTATTTCACACGGCCGGCGGCTTTTTGCTCTGTAAATATATTTTCAATCTGATATGAATGTGTTCAAGATACTTTGAAATGACATACACTAGCATGCACAATTCAAAGGATATCAGAAGATATATTTCGCTTTGCCAATGACAAAGTTTGAATAGTACAGTGAAGTGCTTAATGTGAGCCATGAAGTGGTTTTGCGCTGCGCACGGGCAATACATAAGAACTATAAACTTCAGGTTATGAAGTTTTACGTGCACACAAATATCAATATTGCATAAAAATATAGTAACTTTTATGTGATTAAGGATTTCAACAGTATCTGAGTGGTTGGTAAAACAGTGATTCGTAAATTTTTTGGCAAATAAATTGACCAACGATATAGGATAGGGTAACGAGGTAAAACTTTTATTCACTTTTGACTTTAGACTTTACGTGACGAAATACCGGGCGCATCTGTTAATGCATATTGCACGAAAAAAGTTATTATGAAGTTTAGTAATTAAATTGACAACTGTCTTGAATGAATATTAAACTTTAATTACTCCTCAGGTTTATTGTTTTCATTTTAATCTTAATTATGATTAATGGTTTTACTGGAAAGCAGTTAACGCTTTTATGATAGAATTTATAGCTGTTTTATATGTGCGAATATATTGCTTCTTGTTAATTTTTTACCTAAATATTTAAACAACTTGAGAAATCAGTGACAAAATCTTAAACCAGTTTACTTAAGTATTTGTGTCAATTGTTACAAATGTGTTAATCTGACATTTGATAGAGTCAGCATAATAAATAATTGTAATCAGTTATAGTATAGTAAAGGAGTGCTACTTACAGAACGGATGTGTTACGGCGATCAAAAAGGATGAGAGCCTTTCTAAAGGAGTTCGAAGGCGCCTATTGAATGCAAAATAAAAAATGCGAACGTCCGACTTTCGCGTATCGTATCGATATGTGGTGCGCGCGCTGGTGGTGCGCGGTGGACAGTGACTGGAGGCGCGTGCGCCGGCCGCCACCAGCGCCGGGCCTCGCCTGCGTCACGCGGACCTCATGCGTCATCGTACCGCATCTCGGTTGCGGAATAAGGGACCGGTCGGCCACCGTTCCAGACCCAACGCGAAGCCTCATCACTACTCTAATGAGGCTGGAAGTTTCCATTAACTAATTTATTTATTTATTATTCTAGAAAGACTAAGTCTTAGTGTGATTCTGACCATTCATTTAAAACAAAAATCAATCAAGGACTAATTTTATGATCTAGGAGCCCAATGAATTATATTGTCAAGATTTTTTTTAACGCTTAAGGCATCTAAGGACTTGAAAACTACTTTGTGGACAGTGGAACAGTGGGACTGGGGATAATTAATACAGTATGTCACGAAGAAAAAAAATTCTATAAAAAATAAAAAAACTCATAAAAAATTTGACCTCTTTTTTGTCGATACAAATAGGTCTATTTTTGACCTAATTTCATATGTGCACTTTATCGTGACTCAAACTGTATAATAAGCTAGACTCTAGCTCCTCTCCTCTAGCTGCTAGAGGACAAAATTTCAATTATTTGTCCGTCAAGACAGATAATAAGTAGGTACTGGACACGTATAAAAATATAAAAACCCTAACGATCCGGGGTATATTTTTTCGAATAGTATTTAGATCCTAAGATAAAGCCTAACTAACCCCTATGTTGGACGTTGCGCGTTGTCTTAAAATAGCGAGATCTTGATTGATTGGAAAAGTTTAGAGTTAAATGTATGTGATATTAAGGCTGGGTTGCACCATCTTATTTTAACTTTAGCAAACGTCAAAAATGTGTCAAACTCCACACAAAAAACACCGGATATCGTCAAAGTTACTGTCAAAGTTAGGTGGTGCAACTCAGCCTAAGAAAAACAATCAGGTGTACGAACTCGCGGGGTCCGTTAGTATGTTTAACTAAATGATTTTACAGATTAAAACTTATTAACATAAAAAACAATGTAAACTTTAGACTTCACGCAGGATACGTAGTTGACTTGTATTAATATGGGTTGTATTTAACTGCAAGTCAAAAAATCATCCTTTTGCATACTAAAAAAATTCGAATTCTAAGCAAAAATACTGATTGCACAGCAAAATAATTACCGCAAAATATTAAAATCTTAGCAGCAATTTAAGTTCGTGACGCATTGCTATTTATTTAAAAAGTGAAGCTATTTAATGAATGCATAGCTAATAATAACTTGCGCACAGTAAATGTATTACATCATTTATTAAAAAAAATACTCTCAATTTTTCTATCATGCACTGCAGTTTATCTAAATGAAATATCATTTTATTTGCCATAATAATCGAACGTCCATGCTTGCGTTTTTGGCCAATAGGTATATTTTTGGCCTCTGCAGGCGATGTGACATACTTGAGTCGAATCGCAAGCTCTATTTAAATGCTTGCATAATATACTTTATTTAAAAAAAAGGGGGACAGTTAGGCACATTTAACATTCATCCTGCATTTTTTTCCTTATTTCCAACGAATCATATCACCGTTTTTGTTTGTCGGCGAAAAGTCGCCGACTCATGTCGGTGGATCGTCAGGGCTGCATTATTGAACGACATAAAGTGATAGAAAAGACGCAAAATAGAATTTCAGTTCAACTTTAAGAAATAATGCTATACAAAGAACATTATTTTGATTTAATTATTATTAAATTTGCCGAACAAGTTCTCTGAAATTTTGAGACATTATTGTTGAGCAACTTTTAAAATGCATATTAGAAAACATGTTGCAAGAATAGTTATATTGAAATGAGTATGAGTATTACTGATGTACGTTCGGGTAAAGGACATCTTCCACGTTTCATATATTTTTGGTCCAAAATCAAAAGTGCCGGCCAACAAAAAAAAGTGCTGTATTCTGACAGAATACGTCTACCTTAGCATTTGTTACTATGGCACGAAAGCCGTAACTCCACTGTGCGTCGAGTATTTGAGATCTAAAAGTCATCGATTATTCATACATTTTTTGTTCAAAATCGAAAGTGTCGGCCAATAAAAAAAAAAGTGCTGTGTTCTGACAGAATACGTCCGCCTTAGCATTTGTTACTATGGCACCAAAGCTGTAGCACCACTATGCGTCGAGTATTTGAGATCTAAAATTCATCGACGATTCATACATTTTTTGTTCAAAATCAAAAGTGTCGGCCAATAACAAAAAGTGCTGTCTTCTGACAGAATACGGCCGCCTTAGCATTTGTTACTATGGCACCAAAGCTGTAGCACCACTGTGCGTCGAGTATTTGAGATCTAAAATTCATCGACGATTCATACATTTTTTGTTCAAAATCAAAAATGTCGGCCAATAAAAAAAAAGTGCTTTATTCTGACAGAATGCGTCCGCCTTAATATTTGTTACTATGACACCAAAGCTGTAGCACCACTGTGCATCGTAGTATTTGAGATCAAAGACAGTCGTTTCATATATTTTTAGAGCTCAAATACTACGATGCACAGTGGTGCTACAGCTTTGGTGCCATAGTAATAAATGCTAAGGCGGACGTATTCTATCAGAATACAGCACTTTTATTTTATGGCCGGCACTTTTGATTTTGGACCAAAATGGATGATGTCCTTTGCTGTGCAATTAGTATATTTGATGAGAAAATAATATTTTTGCACATCAAACAACATTTTTGTTGCGCGTTTAAGAAAAAATATAGTACACTTTTGATGTGTATTTTAGTATTATTTGTAGTACTAGTTTTGTTAAACAATTTGTTTATTTGCAATGAAATAATTTATTTGATGTAAAAGTTATTTAAATTGATGAAAATAACTTGATGTACGATAAGTTATTTGATGTGCGATTAATAATATCCCTATTAATATCTTGTTCATCCGGTGTCACCTTTTTACAATAACAGTACAATTTCTAAAAATAAGAAACTCCATCGTCATCTCTACACACGTCACACAATGAAAAGGTATTTTAATAGCGTAAAACTTAATGAATATGTAAGATGTATAATGATGAATAGTTTGTAAAAAGAGATATTTTTACAAACTATTCTGTGATTTTTATTTGAATAGTTTGCAATAATGTTAGATAAGAAGACTTAATACTAGAGATGAAACGGATAGTTGTTTGGCCGGATACCGGATACCGGATATCCGGCGAGCTGCTAGGCCGGATAGCCGGATATCCGGCGGCCGGATAGTTGTCTCATTGTCATGTTGCATGTCGTAACGAGTTTAGCGCCGCACAGGTCCTTCGAACGCGATCAGTGAGTCTAGTAGACTAGACAAGTCACACTTTTCGAAAAACGAATTCGTTCGAATAGAATGTCAGATTTTGCCACTCGCCTAAGGGGCAGATCAATTCGGGCGATTTCGGTTGCCATCGTGAGTATGTGATTGAATAGCGAAAATTCAATTAGTTTATTTGCTGCGTAATCTGACTGAACTGCATTATACAGAGTGACTTTGAAATCGTTGGCATTCTTTTTAAAATAAGACTCTACTCATGATTCCCCAAATATGAGTCACATCAAATGAATTAAAATTTCAATATTTGAAATCTTGTACAGACGACAGTACACCAATCTTCATACTGTGGCATCTTATTTCAATGTATTAAGTGTTATTTTGCAACAAAATGTATAGGATGATGTGCTGTTGACTGTACAATAGTTTTAAACTCTTTACACACACACACTAATACAAATACATAGTTAAAATAATGACAAAAAATCTCATTGGATTTGTCTCATATTTGGGGAATGCACTATGTATTATGAGTAGTCTTATAACTACATATTAAAAGGATGCCAACGATTTCAAAGTCACCCTGCATGTCATCAGACCATCAGTGAAAAAAAGATCGCCTATTTTATTTGGCAATATTTCGTCATTAAAATATATTTTGAAAATTATAAATAACTTGAAAAAATCGAACTGCCTAAGGCGGGAATTGAACCCACGACCTTCCGCTTGCCGGGCGACTGCTCTTCCAACTGAGTTACTTAGACACTGGATGAACCCGTCGAAATTTTCAAGTGTAATACGCTGTTATAGTATATTAGTGTCGTGGGTTCAATTCCCGCCTTAGGCAGTTCGATTTCTTCAAGTTATTTATAATTTTCAAATTAGTTTGAGATGCGACTCTTAACGCTAAAAAATTAAATAACTATATTAAAATATATTTACTATGTATTTATGTATTCGTCATTAGAGTGAATAGCCCAGAAAGGAAATTAGTTTTTTGAAAGGCCTTTATATGGCTTTTTTGTAACTTTTTGGACTTTAGATAAAAACCGTCATTATTATAAGCCATTTTATTGATATTTAACTCAAATATTATTGTGTTTCATTTTATTATAGGAAATTTTCGTAGATTTTTAATATCCGGAATCCGGCCGGATAGTGAGCTACTATCCGGTATCCGGCCGTATAGTAAATTTAAGCCGGATATCCGGCCTACCGGATAGTTGCCGGATATCCGTTTCATCTCTACTTAATACTGAAAAAAACGCATCAGCTTCCCACAACTAATATTGGTAGATCGCATAAATTCCTGGATAAGTACATTTTTTGAGATTTAATACTGTAAAATTAGGATAAGAAATAAAAGAAAACTCACAAATTTAACCGGTAGATATCACAGCAATCGTTGAATACACTAGATGCAATCTGAAATATAAGGCAAATAAATCATTTTTTTATCTCTTAGTAAGTCGCACAAGTTATCGATTTAATTATAATGTTCTTGTGTTTTTTTTTTTAGTTTTTGTGGTATGAGATGATGAATTCCCTTTTTCTTTATTTGATAAAGCCTAACGGTAACCTAACTAGCTATGTATTTACCGCCTACCAGTACTAGAAAAAAATACGTAATTATAATATCTATTAAGCTTCACACGCGCAGATTTTGTATGTGTCACATAAAATAATACAGATAAATATAAATTTTCAGAAGCCTTGTTTTTCAGCCTTTTGAATTTGAAATTC